AAAACTATGGCATGATTTGGATTGTGTACAAAGGCAAGGAGTTTGGCAAACGTTCAGATGACACATCTTATAAACTACGTGCAGGTTTAAGTAGCCATGAGCAACATGTTTCTCTCTACAGCACTATTTATAAGGCACATTCCTCAATGATGGCAGGTTCCTTCAGACTTTCCACAACTGCATATCATGGTCTCAAGGCACTGTAGGTTCGGCGAGGAAAATATTTCAAGCTGCTCCGAGACAAAAACAAAAACATAAAATGCACTGTGCAATATTCAATAATAAAATATCCTTGTAGCTTACAGCGTGACACGGGTCGTCTTCCATGCCGTCCTCCATGTTGAGCCGCCATGTTTCTACAGTAGCCCAGAACGGACAAACTAAACACTGGCTGTAGATAGGCCTTTCACATTTTTCGGCAGTTCTGCAGCCACCGTAGTCTCTCCTACAAACTGCACTGCCAGCTCACATTCCCAGATCGTCAAACACACACACCAGCGGGATTCTGTTAGTTGGAATCTGAAACTTCACCTCTATGCCACTAAGTCCTACACACTACTCCTTTAAAGTTAGCTGCTTTCCATCTATTTTAACTGTTTATTTGAACCAATTTATATGACCATTTCCAGTATACCAGGGTCAAAAACACAATCTCAGCCTTATGTCAAAGTGTTTATATTCTCGTTCTATATATGATCATTTCAATAAGTCACTGTCCTCTGACCTTATATACTATCACCTCTCCCAACCCCAGTTGTCAGCCAGCACTGACCTCTCCCTCCGTGTTACCATCCCTCTTTTCTCAAACTGTCCCTGCATGCTTTCCTCTGCTACCCTCCCTCATCGTCCTACTTCTTTTTTTTCCCTCCCTCACCTCCTCTCTCCTCTGCTTGTCAGCTGGTCTGTTTGATACCGTTTCTGACAAGTCAAACAGGGATAGATTGGACTACCGCGATGCTCACATGCCCCACTTATAGGGAAGGGTTGAGTGTTGGGTGAGATGTACTTATTAAATTATTGCATGTCATGGACAAACTTGTACAAACTCCTACTTCATTTTCCATGAATGCTGAAAGTGAACATTAACAACTGTGTTAAATATGTGGTAATAATGTTGGCTCTGCTCCTAAAGCGCAACATAATCTAACAGTCTCACAATCGCTGCCTGCTATTCTCTGTTTTTCTCAGAGAGCACAGTAAGAGCTGATGGAAACAAAATCAAATAATGAATGCTTTTATTCTCCACTTGTTTGTTAACAACAGCTAATTTCCCCTTCTTTCCATCTTTATTCGCCATTGTAACGCTTCCTGTCCTCATCCCTGCCTACCCTTTTTTCTCTCGCACTGTTGTCCATCCCTTTCAACATCACTAGACTAAGATGTCAGTCCTTTGTTTCGGATGTTTTAGTTGTGTCAGAGCTCGATCAGTCTGTGTTGGAGTTCAGTCTATGAAGCTGCAGTTTAACGACACCAGAACAAGCTTACTTTCTGTTGCTGACACTGGATTAAACACACTATAAACACATGAGATAACCAAAATGCAAAACTGCTCTGTAGTGCAAAAAAGACTGTGAATTACAAATGTGAACAAATAGTGTTGAGCAGTCCAACTTTTTACACTAATTCTTACAGCCAGTGTTTATCAGATTTTAAAGCAAATGAGTTCCCAAAAGGCCAAAAAAAGGCTTCAATTTATGGCAGCTCATATCAAATCTTACTGCATCCCTAAACAACAGCAGTCGCAAGTCAACTACATGCATAAATGTACACTTACCATAATAGCTGCAAAAACTACAGCCCACATGGTAAACACTGGAACAGGTCCGATGGGGGTCTTTTAGGTCTGATGATTGGTCTCTCACTTTTTCAAAACCTGTTTTGGCCCCCCTCCCTATTAGGGTTCCAGTGTTATGAACCCACTACAATCTCTATCACAGGATCTTCAGACCGTAGAGCTGCCAGAATGCAGAGGAGAGGAGTTGAGAAAAGGTCACTTCAAGTATTACCTTCTTTCACAGTCATCATGCTTTACAAGCAGCAGCAATGGATGATTAGCTGACTCTTTTTGCCCCCGGTTTGGCCGGTTGTACCAGTACCCTGAAAGGAAGCCCCGCAGGCACTAAAAGAACTGCAAACTCCTATGCAAAT